GCATTGGAACAGGCTGCCCAGGGAAGTGATTGAGTCCCCATCCCTGGAGGTATTTAAAAGATGTGTAGATGTGGTGCTTAGGGACATGGTTTAGTGGTGGACTTGGCAGTGCTAGGTTAATGGTTGGATGCAGGATCTTAAAGGTCTTTTCCAACCTAAACGATTCTATGATTCTATGATTCTTAGATACAAGTACAAACATCTCAAATTGAACAAACCGTTGTTACATTCCCTGTTTTTATGGAATTTATGTTCACCTTCAGGAACAATAGAACAATCTAATGGTGTCATATTTTTTCTTAAGGGACACATCAACTGCAGCAGCTTTGGTTTGGTGTCAACACTTGGAGATATAATGAAGACTAATGTTGACTAAATGTCAAGCAAAAAACATTTAGAAAAATGGAAAGTGATCAAAAAAAGGTCTTCCATTGCTCTGTGAGAGACTTCTGAGTTTTACAGGCTCTCTTGTGGATCTTTAGTGTTATCAGCGTGATGAGCAGATTGCTCATATTGTATATGCTAAGTCCTGCTCTGAGACGCACACGTGGATGTCTCAAATATCCTAGAATATCTAAAATAGTAACAGACAGCTATGGATAGGCAGCTGAACTGAATAGCTATCAGATATACTTTCAGAGCTCAAGCACTTAGTTTACTTGAGGATACCTGCATTTGGACACCCACATTTTGCTGTTTGCACTTTGGGTTTAAATCTGCCCTATAAGGCTATCTCGGATATATTTCTGTTCTTATTCTTATTCTCTTTTTAATTAATTATATCTAGTTACTCTGTAAAAAATTACTTTGTCATTTTTCACTGACCAGTCTAAGAATTTTACTAGTGTGGGAATAGTTTATTTCTCAGAACAAACTCTCAATCTTTTTCCTTTTCTACCTTATCTTAAGGTCTCTGAGCCAAGTTTTCAAATGCAATACAAAATAAATCCAGCATTAAAAAAAAAAAAAAAAATTGAATCTTACAGATAGAAGGGATGGTTATAGAATCTTAGAATCATAGAATGGTTTGGGCTGGAAGGGACCTTTAAAGGTCATCTAGTCCAAGCACCCTGCCGTGGGCAGGGGCATCTTCCACTAGGACAGGTTGATCAAAGCCACATCCAACCTGACTTCGAAATCTTGCATTGATGAGGTGTCCACAACTTGTCTGAGAAACCTGTTCCAGTGTTTCACCACCCTCATCGTAAAAAATTTTTTCCTCATATCTAGTGTAAACCTACCTTCTTTCAGTTTAAAACTGTTCCCCCTTTTCCTGTCACTACAGGCTTTGGTAAAAAGTTTCTCTCCGTCTTTCTTTTGAGCCCCCTTTAAGTATTGAAAAGCTGCAATCACATCTCCCCAGAGCCTTCTCTTTTCCAGGCTGAACAATTTTCCAGGCAACAACCCCAACTCTCTCAGCCTTTCTTCACAGGAGAGGTGTTCCATCCCTCTCTTCATTTTTGTGACCCTCTTCTGGACCTGCTCCAACAGGTCCGTGTCTTTCCTGTACTGAGGACTCCAGAGCTGGACACAGTACTCCAGGTGGGGTCTCACCAGAGCAGAGGAGAGGGGCAGAATCACCTCCCTCGACCTGTTGGTCACACTTCTTTGGATGCATCCCAGGATACGATTGGCCTTCTGGGCTGCAAGAACACAATGCCAGCTCATGTCCAGCTTTTCCATCCACCAGTACCCCCAAGTCCTTCTCGGCAGGGCTGCTCTCAGGGAGGGAGATGAAGGGATCTTCATCCCCCAGCCTGTATTGATACTGGGGTTTGCCTCGACCCAGGTGCAGGACCTTGCACTTGGCCTTGTTGAACTTCATAAGGTTCACATCAGTCCATTGACTATGGCCTGGAACTAGAGAATCTGTGTCTCTTCTGTCACAGATCTGCCAAGTCATCACGTATATTTAAATGACATTAACCATGCCTACATGACATGATATATCATGAAATAGTTCTGAATGGAATTAGAAACTTTGTACCCTTTTAAAATGAAGTTCTGATTAATTCTTAGAAGTTGAATACTAAACTGTTTCCAGTATTGAGTTAATATATTTGGAAAACCTTAAAGTATGTACAACAGCCTGCATTTTGAGATATGGTCGCACCTTTCTTACCAGGTTTAAATCATTGGCAATTTTGAAATGTGGTTTTGATATCTGATTAATTTTTGTCTACTGATACTCTTTCAGTTCTATTTCATACTTCACATAAGAGTTCCTTGTACAAATTCTGATTTTCATGTTCTTCTATAAAATAGAAGTGGCTACTTAACCATATACTTCTGTAAATAAGTTTTACTCTCCCAGATATTATGATATACACAGAGTAGAAGTATGTTAGCAAAATAATGCAACTGTTTATAAAGAAGTTTAATGAAGGCATTGCTTTGCTTTTATTGCAAGCAGACTCTTGCAACCTTATAGCAGTATCTGAATATAGCAGAATTTAACTCTCTATTTTACACCAGCTATATCCATTGTATTTGGCTATGATACTGTCGTGATTTAATCTCAGCCAGACCGGAGCCCCACACAGCCGCTCGCTCACTCTCCCCCAGCCCCTGGTGGGATGGGGGAGAGAATCAGAAGACTAAAAGTGAGAAAACGTGTGGGTTGAGATAAGAACAGTTTAATAATTGAAGTAAAATAAAATAGTAATAATAAAAACAATATTTATAAAAGAATATGCAAAGCAAGTGATGCACGATATAATTGCTTTACCACCTGCCAACCAATGCCCAGCCAGTCCCTGAGCAGTGGCCCCCCCAGCCAGCTTTCACCCAGTTTATGTACTGAGCATGATGTCACATGGTATGGAATGTCCCTTTGTCCAGTTTGGGTCAGCTGTCCTGGCTGGGCCCTCTCCCAGCTTCTTGTGCACCTCCAGCCTTCTCAGTCGGTAGAACATGGGAAGCTGAAAAGTCCTTGACTAGTGTAAGCACTACTTAGCAACAACTAAAACATCGGTGTGTTATCAACATTGTTCTCATCCTAAATCCAAAACACAGCACTGTACCAGCTACTAGGAAGAAAATTAACTCTATCCCTGCCAAAACCAGGACAGATACTTATCTCTATGCATCATTTTGTACCTTTAAAAACACAAAAATCTCCAATTTCCACATTAGTTTAACTCTATATTGAATTGCTGGATTTCTAAGAATAATTAATGTACACTAAAAGCCTATTAATTCTATCATTGTTTTCTTGCTAAAGTAGTTCACTATAGACAATTAGATAGATACTTGTTATATTTGAAACTCTTTGGCATTATAAAGATTTGAGGGTTATTTTCCCATTGATATTATGGGGAATTCAGTTCATGGTTCAACAGTAAAATAGCTGAAAATATGATATGAAAGAAATATGCAGTAGTGCTCAGAGATGTAAATTACCATCTTATTAAAATGAACCTTGCAGAATTGATTATAGTGCAGTTATTTCTTTAATTGAGGTCTTATAATTTTTATTTCAGAAAAGTCAACGACAGCAGTAAATTCTTTTTTTTTCTGTAATGTAAACATGTATGGTAAAAAGATACACTCTGAATAAAATATATTTTAGAATATTATTTTTATTTTGTGTGTTTAATCTAGGCCTGAAAAATTTATGGTTGTAAAATTTGAAAAAGGAAAATGAGGAGGTGAAAGAGACAGAAAGGGAAGACACTCACAGGCATAGCTAACATGAAATATAGGAGCAGCTAAATTGTTACTGCAACACTGTTTCTTTATGTGGTATCAAAAAATATTTGTCAGATGTAACGTTAAGAAGAAAAACTCTGTTGATTATTACAGTGCAATTATATTAATTTCCATTACTTGTAACTCTTAACAAGTATTTATTTTTAAACTGTGAATAGAAAAACTTGTGTGTGAAAAACTCTGTACATAGTTCATAGGATCTTCTAACCAGTGTCATCAGTAGTCATCTCTTTTCATACAGAAGCAAGGTGAAAGATAATGAATGTGAAAACAAAACACTGCAAAGCTGCATCCGGAGCAGGGCTTTTGCACCTAAATTGGCACCTAGGTGAAAAATGTGTTCTTACATATTCCTCCAGTTGTCCCGGCCTTTAGCCCCCAAAGAAATGCAGTTGTGAGTGGTTTTAACTTTAGATTTTACTGGTTGCCTAGAGTTACATTTCTATATTTATTTCAAAGAGCTTCACTACTGATATGGTTAAGTAGTCTTTTTTTCTACCTGGACACTAATGGGGTATACAAACCACAGGTTGCTCTCATGAAACCCTTTCAGATTTTCTGCCTGCCGATATATTTAGACACCTTTTCAATAAGGACATTTCTGGTCTTTGGGCTAATGAGAATAAATAAAAGCACAGCTGTGGGCAAGACAGGTGTTCAAGAAGAGTTGCTGTTGCTCAGTGACCATTACCTCAAAGTGACATTGCCTCAAGGTATAAGAGCACGCTCTCACCATCGTCATCTCTCCCGGTCAGTGAATTCTGAGCTATCTTTCAGACTAGGTAATCTTCTGAAGTAAGACACCAATGATTTTAAGATGGGTGACTTTCAAACACTACTATTTTAAACATTTTCTGTCAGCTTTTAGAAGTTGCATAAAGAACATATTGACTTTAGGTGCCTTTTTGATCCATATGCCTGCAGAATTTGCTGTTATTATATGTCCTTTCCTCTCTTCAC